GTACAGAATATTGGTTAAGAGCAAAAATGCATCTGAACACTAGTGCTCCAATTTCAAGCTCTATTACCTTGCAGAAGCTACTTAACCTCACTATGCCTTAGTTTCTGCATCTGTAAAATGGGAATATTAGTAGTACCCATCTCATAGGGAAGTTGGGAGGGTTAAACTGAATGCTGAAGACACTTAGCACAGTGCCTGACATAGAGAGCTCAGCAAATTGTCACTATAGTCATGTGATGTGATGATTATTTCTCACCTTCTCCTTCCCAGGCTCTCCCACCTGATCCCATGTTTCCGCTACAGGACCACTCTGCCTCCCTTCCCGTCTCTGCAGCTTGATCCCCCTTGCTCTTTCTTCCTGCAGGCAGGGTCCCTCCTTGGTGGAATGGAGACCTGAATAATAGGGCCACAGCTGCACCCTCAAGGATGAGATGTCCCTTGATACTCCCTGTCCTGGGATGCCTACACTTACACTTCAGAGGTGCAGCCTGGAGCAAGAGGAGGCTCTGGTTTTCACCTTTGCCTCCATGCCCTCATGAGGTCATGGGAGTCTGACTCTACAAATCCACAGAGCACCCAGCCCACGACCTGGCAGCTACAGGGCCAGGATTAAGAGTGAACTCACGGTCAGGGGCGAGGCGGGCGTAGCTGCCATTGCTTTGAAAACTGGTGTAGGAGTGGGCATGGTGCACGGATTCATCCACCACAGCCGCCATCCAGATGGCCAGGTTGGTGGTAAGTGTGAACATGAGACCACACCTGTTGGGGGAGCCAAAGAGGCCAGTGAATCCCTGATGAGCTATAATAAGGGATGGTGTTGAGAAATGAGAAAGCAGACAGGCCCCTGTGTGAACAGGGTAGCTGAGTTTGGAAGGAACACTTAGCCTGGCCAGGATCCCACCCAAGAGAGGGCCCAGGTTGCCCAGAGGCTCAGACCACCAATGCCCCCACCCCCAGGGGAAAGGGAAGTGGAAGTCAGGCTGACAAAGCAAGGAGACCTCGGCCGAAAGCCCACAGGGAGCAGAAAGAGGACGCACGCCACAGGTTGGAAAGCCCTCATCTGTCATGCAAGGTGACTGGAACGCTGGACACAGACATGGAGCTGCGGTTCTCACCGGGTCAGATCCAGGTGGACGTGAATACAGTCTTTAGCGGAGACCCAGAGAAAGTAAGTCTGTTTGAGAGAGAGTGATGAGGGTCATTTACTCTGTAGATGGGCTGAACTCCAGGGTGCCCACGTCCATGCCCAGTATTACATTCTCTCTACCCCAAGAGCCCTTAGACTAAGTGATCAAGTTTATTTCAGCTTTACAAAATAAGACAGGGAGCATTTCCTTTTTCTATTCTATGGTACAGTTTGTATAAAATAGTGGCTCTCGGTTCTTTGAAGATTTGCAAAATGTCATCTGTAAAAAAACTCTCTGGTCTTGGGGGTTTTTCAGGGGGAGGGGATGGGAGTCAAGCAGATTTTGACTACCTGGTTATATTTATTCCTGGGAGCAAGGCCAGCCTCAGGCCAGGTCTTGCTCAAGGTCAAATGAGTCTCTGGAGACTTCTGAGTCCCTTTGACAACATCCTCTGCCCATCCTCTTCCTTCGTCACACTGCAAGTCCCTACTTTCATCTGACTGCTATTGAATCCCTGACATGGGATTTGTTGATGTGGGCTATCTGTATTTCCATTTTACCTGAGTATTCGTCAAACACATAAAATGTAAAAGACTAAAACTACATAAATGCCAAAGCCATACGTGTGTTGTATTGTGGAAACTTGGGCAGCAGGGGTGGTGTTTCGGGGAGAGCATCACCCCATGTGGCCATTCTGGTCATGATACAGGGCTGGGGTCTGTTCTGGTCCCATGTAAGACCCGTCCTGCCTCAGCTTAATCAGAAGGTTGTTTATGAGCAAAAAAAAAAAAATAAACTTGTTTGAAAAATCCCAGTTACAGGATGCCCTACTTCCTGAACAAATACAGAACATAGGGACCATGGCTAAGGCCAAACTGGCCATGTCCACAGCAGGACCCTGGGCTGGGACTGATGCCCTCTATGGGCACCCAAGGAGGACAGGCCAGGTTCTAGGGGACAGGGCCTTTATCCCAATTCACACCTCCTATATGTTAACTATTGGCACTGCTTAGATTGAAATAAAATCACAGGGCCCTATGTAGGAGCTCATATCTGGGTATTTCTTCATTACCGAGTGCTTCCACATGTATGGGCTCCTAGGGTCCCCACTACAGTCCTATCCCCAGTTTATTTAATTGCACAGAGTAGAAGGGAGAGTGGAGCTCAGGTCTCCTGACCCCTTGCCAAGGGACATTCACACTCAGGGACATTCCTCTCACCCACCTGGACAATGACAAACACCGCTTGGATGAGAGGGTGCAGGATCTTGATGGCTGATTGGCACTCAAAGAAGCTGGAATAGTAGCCGGTCTTGAAGACATCCATGACAAGAGTGCAGATCCCAAACAGCACCAGCCCACCTGGGGATCAGGGCGGGATGGTGGTGGTGGATTAGACAGGCAGGAGAGAAGGCTTGCAGAGCTGAGGATGGGTGGCTAGATGGGTGGGTGGATGGGGGAGTGGTGGGATGATTGGGTGGAAGGATAGATGAATGGGGTGGGTGGGAGGATGAGTGTGTGATTGAGGGGGTGGATGGGTGGCTGTCCTATTGAGCCCCTTTCTTCGGGGCTGCATAGATAAGAAGGGCCTTAGGTCAGCTCTTTCAGCTACTGCTGCCTTCTGTTTCCTGCTCTCCATCAGAGGCTTGCGTCGACGTGCAGCTCTGCAATTTCTCCAGCAGCCCCAGCCTGCAGCCCCGCGCCGTGCCCACCCCCCCCACCTTCCCACCCCCACCGCCCCTGGCACCTCGGAGCCAGATGGGGCCGGCGTGCGCGTCCCGGTAGGGGACGGCGTCGGGGCAGCGCGCCGTGCGCAGGAGGTAGAAGAGGATCCAGAGGGCGGCCAGCAGCATCATGGCGGTGAGCAGCGCGAACACGTCGGTGTCGTACACCGCCACCTTGTTGAAGGCGCCGCCGCTGACGAGCGTGCAGGCGAGGAGCAGCACGTTCACCGCCAGCAGCACGGACAGCAGGCGGCCGCCCTTCTTCCACCCCTCGGGGGGACCCGCCCGCGGCGCCGGGGGGCTCTCCTTGGGGCCCCGCGCCAGCTCCTCGGACATGGCGGGGCGACTGGAGGAGGTTGGCGGGGTCACTGTGGGGGAGGGGCGAACAGGACTGCAGGTTAATCCCGAGGGCTCTCCTCCTCCCGTCTTGTCCCTTGATTTGGGGACCAGGGAGTTCCTAACCCGGACGGTGGGGACTGGGGGTGCTGGAGAAAGCGCTGAGGAAGGGGAAGAGAAAACCCGGAGCCTGCCCCTCTCGCGCTCGACGGGAAAGAAGGAAGCCGTCCAGGGTCCCTCCTCCCCGAATCCGAGGGCCTTCTGGCCGGGCACGCACCTGGCTGGGCTGGGAGCCTGCGCTGAGCACGGGGCCGGGGGGCGGCGAGGGTGTCCTCTCTCCCGCTGCGGGCTGGACGGGCGCTTTATACCCGGGAGGGCAGGGTGATTTACAGCCGCGGGAGCTCGGCTCCATAAACCTCTCAGTTCCACTCACATGATCCATCTTTGCTCCGAGCTGAATTTAGGGAAGAGCGCGCGGGAGCCAGATAAGGCGAGATTTCTATTTACCCGTTAAGAGGAACCCCCCCTCCCCCGCCTCCCTGTCACCCCGGCGCGGCCAGGCTTGGGCGCTGCCCTGCACTGCGGCACCCGGAGCGCACCCTGCCCCCGGCGCCCACCGCACCCAGGCGTGCAGCGACCCCGGTCACCCACAGCCCCCAACGCTGACGCTCAAGGGACGCCCCAAGGGCCCTCAGGCACCCCGACGCCCTCCCAGCTCGGGTGCGCCCTATACCTTTGCGCTCCTCTGTTGCTGCCCCGAGATCGGGACCCTAGACCCCCTTTCCCCGACGAAGTTCCTTTTTCCTCTGTCCCTCCCTACTGTCCCTTGCTCAGCTGGATGCTGCGAAGTCTGGGGCTTGGGTACGAAGTTCCCGCTCGGCGCGCGGAGTCGGCTTCCAGACCTCTGGCGCCCCCTGCTGGAGCGCGGCTGGCCCACCCCGCGCGAGGGGGTGGTGGCACCGCCAGGTCCTACTCCCGGACGGTCTCGCGGTCGGTCCTCATGCCTCTTTTAGGTCCACTGTCCTGGGGTTCAGCACTGCCCCTCTCCCCCGCCCTCGGACATCCTCTCCAGCTCTTGGCCGGTTCCTTTGACGGGTAGAGAAATAGGAAGCTGTCGGGCCGGTGCTCTAGTGAGGACTGACCCCGAACTGTCCACAGACTGGGCCTCACGGGGCAGGGCACTGGGGTGGGCACTTCTGGAGAGAGGACAGGGCTTCGCCTGGATCTCCGCTGTGCTTGAAGAGCAAGGTGTTTAGGACCCAGGGGAAGCCCGGGGGCGGCTCTCTGGGCAGCGGGAGATCCTCCCCACCCCCCACCCGCGCA